TGAAAGCGCGATCACAGAGCATTAAGAGGTGGGAGGTGATACGATTGCATTGTGTTTTCCTGAGAGAGTATTTCCGTATGTACGAATCAGCTAATCTTATTTAAGCATGTTCGTACATATTGATTCACGTGACCTCCATTAACCTACTATCTGAGGCTTTGCCATGTATTTATCTTCAAACGAAGATCAAAATGGATTTTTCAGTCTTTTTCCAGCTCTAACATTTCAGAAAAAAACCACTCAGTTTAAACACTGGCTTTTCACTCGGGGGGTTGGAGACAAAATTATGAAAATAAATTATTTTTTTCACGAGCAAAACAGGCCCCTATTCTTTACACTGCTTCTTGTCAGGAGTTGCCATCAGCCCTGGCGTGGTTAAATCTCCATTTCTAGGCCTTTACTAATTCAGAAGAATGTGGACGTCATCTGAAAGATGACAATGTCAGATTGTTCATGAGTTATGGCACAGCTGCTTGACGTTTGCAAGATCACCAGGATGAACATCGTCATGGAGGCTGTAACTCCTCCAGGCAAGACCCGCACACTTCAGAAGAAGGCAGAACCCAGTTGTACTAGAAACAGGACATTCATTCACATCTAATGTTCACCAAAAAGGCCCACAGTTATAATCACGAGAGTATGTAGTCTGTTGGTCTGCCCAACTGCCTTGGAGAGTGTGGGTACACTACTGTCAGACACACCAGCCGACTGACTGCTTCTCACCCTCAGAAGAAACAGAAACTCTCCCTCCACCATGTGGCACTTGCATCTGTAAAGTGGCAACTTCCTCTTTAATCATTATTTGTCTCTCATTTCCTTGTGTTTTTCTTATGACCTTCTCCCAATCATGGAAGGCCAACAACGCTATGAGTAAGTCAAACAGCCCTGAAAATTTATTTTACAAATATAAATGCATGTGGCACAGCCTACTGTATGCAAATAAACAACAGTTGTGTACTTGTTATAGCAGATCACTTCTCGGGAAAATCCTTAAGCCAAGTTGACCTGAGTCCAGAGAGTCATTAAGATTTTTCCTGAATATTCTGTGAATGGATAACCTCAGTAAATAAAGCATGCACCTGTGGCAAATAGCTGGTGCTTTTGTAATGAACCTTTTGATTTTCTATTAAACATTGCATAAACACTGTGCACAAATTCCAGCTGTCAGAGGGCTCCCACCTCCTAGTGACAGTAAAAGGAAGTTAAAATTGACTGAGAGTCAAAATAGCCCTAGGCTGATACTGCTTCAAGCACATCCCCCCCCACACCCCCCCTCTCCCCGCAGGCAGTGTGAGAGTTGAGTGGTACTCTTGGTTCAGGTTCAGCATCCCCAGGATGTCACCCTGACACATCAGGGCTCATTGGCCAAGTGCTGGTGCAAAGAACATCATTGTTTACTGAGCGATCACTATGGGGTGTGTAGGGGACCCTTCCCTCACCAAGCATGATGATGGTCACCTCTTTTCTATGCGCTTATTGCTTGCCCTGACTCTTCTATTAATCACGAGAAATAGAAAGTTTCTGAAATAGACATTGCAGAGAGAATTTCCCCCAAACCAAAGTCTTTACACATCATTGGAAACCTGCTCATCACAGATTGGAAGCAGCCCTGGAGTCCTGTGTATACAAAGATAAATACTAAGGCACTTTAAAAAGAGAGCTTTTTTTTTAAATAAAGACCAATAGTACACTTTTAATGGAACTAGCCAGGTATTTGAAATCTCCAAATCTATTAACTAGGTTCCCCCCACATTCTGGCTATAGCTTTACATATGTGAACGTCAGAAGGCACCACACTTTTCATCTAATCCAATCACCAGAACAATGAGTACACAGACCCTCTCCAAGTGACCTCCTCATCCAAGTGACATCCTCAGTTTGAGCCACAGCAAATTACCCAGTCCTAATACAAGGATTTCAATCATGGAGGAATCACCTATTCCATAAACAAGTTCTTCTACTAATTGGTAACCTTCACCATTTAAAATGTGTACATTATTTCCCGTTTAGGTCTTGTCTGGCTTCAGCTTTCAAACTCTGGCTCTCACTAAACCTCTAGTTACTGCATTAACTACTGCTTAGCTCAGTCTGTAGGCTGTCTACAGAATCCTATAGCCAGTAGCAAAATTGAAAATAAAGAAACAAGCCTTCCTGACAAGGAAATAGCTTCATCTAATTCAAAGTAAAACTTGAAATGGTAATGGTGAATATGATATGGATGAAATTTAACAGCTAGAGAAGCCATATCATAGATCTTGTGTTTTACTTAAGCACAAAAAACCTTTCTACAGAGC